TGTTTTTCTATCTAGGCATGTTTTGACTGCAGTGACAGTGTATTTGCCAATCAGATGTTTTCCAGATAGTAGTGCATGGTAGATCAAAATCTGACCATACCTTTCTGCATTCATAATTCCATCAGTTTTGACAAGATCTCCAGCAACACTGGCTGAAATGCAGCCCCAAACAATGACAATGCATCCACCGTGTTTTACAGATGGCTGTAGATACTCACTGTTATAGTTTTGGCCTGACCTGACCTCCATAGATACTGGCGATGATTTGAACCAAAAATTTTAAATTTGGATTTTTAAGGACACACTGCAAAGGACCACACCATTTAATTACCACAACTAAGTATTTCTGCACATATTGAACACAGGTGTATTTCTTGAGGCAAAAGTGGTCGCACCAGATTTCTTTTTTAAATTTTCTTTTTTATGAGGGCTCAACAAATACCTTGCATCCTAAGAAATGTTAAATGTGTGCTGTCAGGCTAATTTGCAAGGGTGCACATGCTCTTCTGTGAGCAACACTGCCAGTATTTCAGTGTTACCTTGTACATGCAAACATGCATTCATGGTCCACTGATAAATGAGACTGCAACATGTGTTCTTAGGTAACTTTAAGACGTCTTGCTGAAATATCATCCGGCTACAATGTGATAGGTAGAGAGGATATAAGCAGTGTGTATTTGTCCTTGTGATGCAAAGAGGCCTCAACACATGGAGAGTGGTGAATCTCCAGCTGCTCCCAATTCTCCCTCATGGGTGTTTTCTGGCCAAGGGTACAGACGGCATGCTAATGTGTATAGCCTCTTGGTTGTGTGCGTGCACGTGTGTTTCTGTCTTGTCAATGTCTCTACATTGTAGCATGTGTGACATCTGCAGGAAATGAGAGCCACCCTCCTATAGTTGATGAAGACAAAGGGACTGACACTTTCTATAGGCTCGCCGAAGCCAAAATGTTGGAGAACATCCAAACTCTTTTTAAAACTTTTTTCCTAAATGGGTGACAATGATAGATCGCCCTGAACTGGCGCAGCGTCTTGTAAGTAATCTGGAGCAGGGCAACGAAGAGAAAGGGGGAAGCTGGTGCCTCAAAGACAAAGAGCTTGAGCATATGGCAGCAATATAGCACAAACAATAACGCACAAATATCCTATGTGCATGGCACAGTTCTTTAAGATATGGAGATTTTTCCTCAACAATAGCCTAAAACCACACAGACATGCACAAGTGCTGCGCCACAAATAAATGCGGTTTCAGCTGGGAACGCTACGAGATTTTTCCGATGTGGAATTGTGGAAGACCCCACACGTAACAAAAGCTTTCCCACTGCACTCGTACTTGAGCTCACACATTATATACAAAGTAAGATGTCCATCCAGCTCACATTATCTTGCAAGACTTTGACTCTTTATTTACTACAATGCACAGATTAAATACAAAGGGACAAGATTACAAAACCGCCCAAAACCATGGCTGTAAAACCATAATGAGAAGATTAATTGAAGAGTAAAGTGAATTTGATGTGTGTATAATCAGCAGGCACTGTTTGTGCTCATCTGTTACCGTAAGTAGCCGAGCAGTGTTTAGTTCTCACGGGTATCAGAGTTTGCAATTCAATCAGTGGTTAACGCACAAAAGAGACCTGCAGTTTACATCAAATGTGTTAGTTCCAACTTGGCAGATTTCTGAGGTCCTGTCAAAGCAATCTTTTCATTTTTTTTTTTTTTTTTTTTTTTTTTTTTTTTTTTTTTTTTTTTTCTAAATGACATCAGAAACAGCAGTATGCGACATTACGTGATGGCAGAGCTTCAGTTCATCCTTTGTCATTTTTTTTTTTTTTTTTTTTTTTTTTTTAATAAATAGGACAGGGGAATGAATGAGAGAGAGAGGGGAGAGAAAGAAAGAAAACCAAAGGGAGAAGAGACGGTGAGAAGGGGGGGGGAAGAGAGACAAAAAAAAAAAAAAAAAAAAAAAAAAAAAAAAACTCCTGGGTCACCTGTATGGAGAAAAAAAAACAAACAAACAAACAAACAAAAACAAACAGAGGAGACAGCAAACAACAAAGAGCAACATAATAATAGAGAAAACAAAGCACCATACCATCACAATAAACTAGCTAGTCATAGATATCAGTATTTACTAAGTAATAAACAATATTGTGCAGCACGCAAGATAGACAGCGCACAGTGTGCTTTGAGGCAGCAGCCAAGAAAGCTTTAGTCCGCGTCTGTGAATACCCATGTGTGCATACCTGTGTGGATCAGCATGCTTGCATTCCAAAGGTTTCTCCATGTAATGATCTGCTAGGGAGTGTGGGGGGCCACAGCCCCGTCCTCCAGGGTGTGAAGCGGGTATGGAGGAGATCAAAACTCCAGACATCCAGAGGCCCCCAGAACACAAGAGACCAAGGAAGACCAACAGAGGGGCAGCCGCGCCACTGTCCAGTAAGAGCTGAGGAGAGTCCCAGATGAGGGCTCGCCCAGCAGCCGCGGAGCAGAAGTCAGGGGGAGTTGCAGTGACGCGCCCGTGAGCTCCGCCGGCCCCAGCTGCGCCTGAGTGACCGAGCCCTAGGCCGAGAGGCCGGGGCACCCCACCTCCAAAGGGCCCGAGCGAGCCCCAGGCCCAGGCCCCGACAAGCGGCCGCCAAGGAGTGAGCCGGTGTGTACCCGGACGCCCACCCCCAGACACAAAGAACCACCAACACACCGACACCTGAGGGAGTCCGCCACCGGCAGGGAAGTGGTGGTGGGTGGAGATAGGCCTCCAAACCTTGGAGGGCCTGAGGTGTTGTCTAGTCTTTCAAAGCAATCTTTTCAAAGACTAGAAGTGAGTCAGGTAGGAGTATCTACTGATGTGTGAGAAAGCCACTCTGAACATATGGCAAAACCGAAAGGGTTCAGTCAGGTCAACACTAAGTTGTGCAAGTTTGCATCTCTTCAAATGATAAATCTTTGTCTCCCTCTAGTGGATTTTCTTTTACTTTTACCTAAGCTTACGTTTTTCTTGGATATATGCATATGGTGTAATTCAAACATATGCTGCAAAAATGATAGATTTCTCTGGGACAAACGTATGATTCTGGTCTAGATAAATAACAAATTACTAATTAATCACATCAACTAACACAAAGCTGGAATCACAGCATCATAGGCATCTGTCCAAACAGAGTTAATATTACCCTTTCATGAATACAACACAGTTGTTTAAATGCAACATTTAAACATTTATTTTTGAGTTCTAGAGCCACATTTCAAAGAAAACAGTCAGTAGTTGAAGCACGTGCCAGTGTCATATCATCAACAACCAGTTACATATATAAGCATCCAAAATTTTAATTTATGAACTACTGAAATCTTCAGGATTTGTCCTTTAATTTCTCATCTTCACTTTTAGACAAGGATAATCGAATTTACTTAAAGTGCTACAGTAAATACCTCTCTCCTGACTTGTCCAAAAGTTACTTGGAGTCAGGTGTTTTAGTTAAGGACATGAGAAAAGAAGTGTTAGTTCCAGACACGCCATTCCTTTAATTTTTGACAACTTTCAACAAACCTTGGAGGGTAGAAAAAAGACATTATGATTCATACAGCAGAAAGAGCCTATAAAAGAATTTCTGAACACCAGCTGGATAATCCACAACAGACAGATGAAATGATAGTTGAATTTTTTGGGAGAGCCGGCACGACAAAGAGAAAAAAGCCGCACAACAACACCAGAACTTATTTCCAGCTGTTATGCATCATAATGGAGGCAGCAGCCCAAAACCTGAGCATAGGAAAAGTTGGGTAATACCAAAAGCGCATAACTAAATCACCCAAAAAAATCTCAAAAAAAATGAATGAAATTCAGGTTATGGGATGGTGAGGTCAGATTTATGGCCTTCATCTAATTGACATGCTGTCTCATGACCTGAAGACAGCTGTTAAGTCAAGCTGTTCCAGAAGTACCAACGATGGCCCAAGATTAAATTTCACCGTTGTTCAAATTGTCATGAACATGAATAAAACATGTGCCGGAGCTGTATAATATTATATTACAAAATATATTTTCTGGTGAACGGTTAGTCAATAGGTTTAATATTCTATATACCTGAAGAGAAATATGTGGCAGAGTCGTTTAGAGAGCAATTACTGCTCCCCTTCTCATGCTGATCCAGTGTGCGTGGTGTGAGCAATCACAGAGGACGGAGGTTCAGAAGACAATGAGATTTGTGTGTTATTGTAATGAAGTTGAGTTCAGGCAAACACCTGCAAGCACTCAGTAAAAGGTCCACACAGCGTGAATAAAAAGTTCCGTCTGTCCTCGAGCCGTTGTTCATACAGAGAATGCATGAAAAGCTGGGACTAGTTTTACATAACTGTTTGTCCATTATTAGTCTTGTCAAATTGTCTTGGCCTATAGCTATGACTGGAATAGCTGAAACCAGTTTAAGAATATTAATTGTGAAAGTCTAGCAATTCCAAAAGGGTTTCTCAAATCCTGCAAGGTCCCTTTACAGAAGGTGGAGTGCTGAGAATGGCGTCATATTTTGGTAGAAGATTTAAATAGCCTGAAAGAGAGACAGCCATTTTCCACTGTTTAGCAACTAAAACACCTATATTATAGTGGCTATATAACAAAGACAAGGAAAAAAAAAATAGGGTAGCAAGGCATATAATAGGCAGCAAAAACAGAAGGAACCATATTCTTTGATTCACAGATCACTCATATTCATCACTGTAAAGCCACTGGGGGGGGATTGGCGTCTGAAGTGAGGAACGGCATATAAAAACCAAAAACAATCAGAAATATTAATTAATATTATACTATTAATATCAGCAGTATTAAAGGCTTAAAGTTCACAAAAGATGAACAGTTACATTTACCATCCTCAAATCAAGTTACCTATGCTGACCACTAGATGGAGCTCTAAATTCAGAGATTTAGCAGCGTTTACAGAAAATTATCACTTTCTTAAATGGAATAAAATAGTTTTTTCTTCTTTGTAGCCATACATATGAGCATTATTGATACTGCAAAGTTTATTTTGATTACCATCACTCAGCCAACGTGTTAGAATTAAAGACAAAGCTACAAATATAAACATGACTCCATTCATTTGCTGCGGTTTATCACAGTGTATTGACAGCTCACTTTCAAGACTTCAGGCACTGAATTTATACATAATTATTTACCAGTAGAATTATGTAAGAGGCACATTGTGTTTACAAAAGACAGAAACACACACATAACTTTCTTTCTTTGTACTCTGTGCTCTTACTCAGCCGATTCGACTTGGAATTATCGAAACACTCCTCTCCTAATTAAAAACAATTAAATTCGCACCCTCATGAGTTGCATAGAATACCACACAACTTAAGTCTTTCCCTTTTTTAGTCATGTTCAAATTAAAGCATGCAAAAACATCCAGCCTAGACCAGGTAACAGAAACTCATGAGCCTGAGTTTCTATCGTGTGTGTCCAACGCTTAGATCATCAGATCACAATGCAGGGATTTAAAGTTTGGTTAGGTGTCAGCAGGTCATGCTCCATCTGTTGAAGGTGGTGTGCAGGGGTCACGTTGTGCTCAGTAAGGGTCCATCTTGATCCTTCTGTACAAGCAGCAGGTGAACACCATTCCACATATCTGAAAACAGGAAGTGTTAGGTCACAGACTGCAGTTTAGTCGCCATGGAAAACTGCAGGAAGCTTGAATGCTACCGACTGTGGGGCAGAGAAGGTTTAAAGGTGAAGGAGTTAGAGACTGCTGGAAAGTATGAAGCTGGTTACTAGGGAGTGTCAGGAGTCAAGCAGCCAATATTTCACCAAAACGTGTGCGCACAGGCTTCCATAAACAAACTATATAAAGCTGGGTGAAGTGAAAAAGCAGATTAATGCTCTTACATCTCAATATACTGTTTTTCCTCTTTGCAAAAGCTCTGGGGACCTTTTTATTTTACTCAGACACACAAAACAAACAGATTACCCCCAAAATTGTTTTGTGTACTTATTTATTTACTAATTTATCGTCTCCCTGTCTCTGCTTGGTTCAGCTGGTTGTGTTTTTATTGAGTTACAAACTAATGTGTTGTCAACAGGGAATTTGTAGACTGCCCCGTGCTGGAGAAACTATGCAATATCAGTCATAACATGGTTGAAGGGTGTTTCTCTCGTATCTTCTTAAGATTTTAAACTTTCATTTATCGGCTAATATAAATGTCGAAACCAATAAATGTCTATACCGACCAGTAATATTAGTCCCAAAATAAATTTAAATAATAATAATAAATAAAAGGCTTCCAAAAATATCACTATAATAAGGGAAAACAGACCACAACAATTGTGCTAGTATTTTAAATGAAGCTTTTTACATTTAGAAATTTGCTGTCATATCTGACATCAGTGTAAACACAGAGCTGTATGAAGAAAAGAGATGCACAGACATTGTCACTGGTGACTGCTACTGGCCTATCAGCAAACTAGACATTATATCGATTATGTGCATTACATCTTAAATATTCAAACATGGCATAATGAAGCATATCTGCATCTTTTATCAGCTGAACTGTTATAAACATCCTTCTCAGCATAGAATTTCACCAGCAGCGAATTCCTAATACGGAATGAGCATGTCTAAAATTACTACTACACAGCACCGAGCAAAAAGTCTAAAAACAAAGCAGAATAAGGGAAGCAGGAGCTGACCAAAGCCGCTGGGTCTACAAGCTTGATGGCCAAATAGGCAAGTGTCCAGATTCCATTTCTGTGCCTCTAAAAGCTTCCAGAGGAAGCCTGATCAAGGAAGTCAGAATTTAATATTGACTCATAATTTCTCCTCGAGCAAGGTTTTGTTTTCCTCTCTCGTCTCAACCATCAGTGACAGTTATGCACAAGGATAGAAGATGCAGTCATTTTGGCTGAGGGAACATAAGGTGAGAAGAAAAAAAAAAAAAAAAAAAAAAAAGGAAAAAAGCCACACTGTTTTTTTAGTTTTCTTGAGGCCTAATTTCAGAAGACGCTAAAAAACAATGATGTAACAGTGTTAAAAAGTAAACTCATTAGAGACAGAAACATGCCATCTCGTGGGATGGCAAAAACAGATATCTGGGCACCCCCAAACAACTCCGAGTCCCAATTCAATGATGTTCATGAAAGCCCAGTCTATTTTAGATTGCAAGTAACTATAGCAACAACACTAATGCTTTTTTTTTCTGAGTGGTAATGTAATAGAAGGTGTCAGCATATTAAATAAATAGGTGTAATAAGTGCAGCAGCTACTCTGTAAATTTTTGTAATTTAAAAAAAAAAAGAGTCTATTAAAAGTAAGCGTGTTAATAATTTCTGCGTTTAACTGTTGTAAATATTCGATTAAGTTTGTATTGTTGTATACCATATACTCCCCGACACCCATAGTGAAGCCTCATTAATGTTTGGATTCAAGGGATATACAGCAAAGCACTGCTACATGCTGTAAATACACCTGTCCCTATGGTGTTTTCCCCACTTCTTGTCAGCGCAGGTGCTACATTGATGGAAGCGTTGCTGCACGAATTATAGATCATGACACTATGAACCAAAGCACAGTGAAAAAGCAAGTGAGTCGTGCTATCCTCAGGATGCATTTGAATAAGCTGTCACATCCTCATCACCCACAGCAACACATCATCACAAAATGCATAGCAACAAACTGGAAAACGCAGCCAAATGCAAAGTCGCTGCATGCTTCACGACGAATTAAACATGTTAATCCAGTAAACATGCAGACAGCAGGTCTCGCATTTAACACAAAACAGGAAGCCACGCAAGGACAAATAGGCAGTCAAATATGAAATATCTACAGTGCCCTCCAACCTTGCCTCTCGATTCGATTAAACCAGCAGCGCTCTAGAGCCAAATTACAATGCACCAAAGTCCTCTTCCTCTTCTTTATAGAGCAGATAGATAAAGCAGGCTGTCAAGAGTGCCCCGACCAACTATAGTGATAACAAACACACACAGAGTACAACACACCAAAGACAGATTAGTGCACACCGACATTAAGACAGACTGAACATTTAACAAAGAGGAGACATAAAGTTGGCCTACATTACGAAAAAATGCTAATATGTGAGTGAGAAGTGACAAAATTACACCGTGTACGTCATGTATTCAATATATTCACAATATTTTCAGCACCTCATTTAAATGCTCGACAAAGTCCCTTCAGATCATTTGGTTCTTGTGAGAAAGTCTTTATGTTATAGCCACTGCTAATGGAGACTCTGCTTAAATTCCTTTTACCAACAGCGGTGAGCATCACAGAGACTGCACGGTTGGTCATCTCATCTTTTGCTTTTTGCAGTCTTTATAATTATGGCAGTGAAATCCTGGCTTCATGTCTTTATTCTCAGTCCCCTGGTGCCCAATTAAAACTAAGCTGTATGTAAAGTGGTGGACTTGTCAGTCTTACAAACACCACTGGAAACAATAAGTGGAAATTTGTTTAGTTCTAGGTTGACCTCAAGTTAATTTAAACGTGGTTTGCAGCTACAGTAAGACAGTTTGGTTAGCTGGTAGAAAAGTGCAAAACAATAAAAAGAGGAAAAAAAAAAATATCCTCGGGCTCTGCAATACTAAAAAGCCCATCTTAGACTACATTGAATAGGCAGAAGGACCAAACTCATATAATGATGACAGAAAGAATCGGATGAGATGAAAAGACGTGTCCATTTAGAGGATCCTGACCTGCCAGGGTACATTCAGTAATAGGAGTTTTTTTTCTTTTAATTCAACAAAGGGCAGCATTCCACTCACAAAAGCTAAAAGCAGTTTCTCATTTCTGATAACAACTGGGCTTGTATAAAGCACTGTATGCTCAGGGAGAAGGCAGTAGAAATGCATCCTGCTTCTTCACCAACCATCTGAACTGGGTGTATATATTACTTACCTGCAGACAGGCCACTCCTATCCCCACTGCACCGATAACCAACAGGTGATCTGCAAGGAACTTTTCCAGCTTAGTGATGCAGCCACCCTACAGAGTTAAAGTTTACACTAGATTATTAGTTAGACAAGAAAGCTTTGTCTGCATTTCTGCATAGCTATAGTTTAAACTGCTTCAGCAAGCAACAAGACATCCTTCAGAAGTTGTGTATTTTTACTGAATCTGGGATGTTCTTGATTATTTAAGTACATTTTCAGTCCCTCTTTACTCCCTCAGGTGTATTTACAGGGCTCAAAACACTCACGGTAAAAATGAATAAATAAACCATCCCAAACCTACAAGTGAACATAGATACAGTCATCATCCACAAACCATTTTATTTAAATTCTCAGGATATGTCTTCATGCTTATGTCTTTGCACATGATGCAGGTAGCACATTGTGAAGGATAAGAAGAAACTGAGTGATTTGACACGAGAAGGCAGAAGAGCCTCTCCTGTGCAGCGTGGATAAGCATTCAAAACCTCATCTTTTATTCATTTTTCTTAGAGCTCATTCTATCAGAAGAAAGTTTGCTGGCATGTTTTGTGAGTCACTCAGGGCTGCACAGAGCTGCACTGCCTGGCACTGTTGCCTCAACGCAAGAAGGTTCCTGGTTCAAATCTCTTACTCAGCTCGGACATTTCTGTGCATGTTTAGCTTGTGACTTTCCTCTGGGTGCCACAGCTTCCTCCCAAAAACAATTGGGAGGTTAGCAAAAATAATGCCCACAGATCTGACGGCATGAACTGAGGTTTATCTCTGCCTTTTGCCCCTATGTCGACCTTGCAACCCAGCAGCAGTTAGGAAAGTAGATGGATGCTTTTCATTTCAGGAAATGAAATATCAGCCTCAGATATTTGAAAATGGTTTGGCTACAACAGACCAGAAGTGAATAAAATACCAGTTTAATTTCTTCAAATATGGCATGAACCAGAAAAAAAAACAACAAAAAACAAAACAATGGACTGTGAAGATGAGCAATCACCCTGAACAACTCGATAACACCGATTTCCTTTGATTACTGCCTACACATAGTTATTAGTATACTCAGTGCTTCCATCTCTTTTTTCTGTCTTTAGGCTATCATCACTCATCTTTGATTGCAAAAGCACTCAGTTGATATTTATAACTCAAATCAGGGATATAGCCAGGTTGCAACACATTTCACAAAACTGTACAAAAGATTATTGTAAGATATAGAACCTACAGGAGGAACTACAACACATTCTGTGTTGTAGCTGCGCAACAGGCAGGCTGAATAAGCCTGCTGTCATTTTGCCAGAAGCATTTATTGCACTGACCTCCACTTTGTAGATGTTGGAGGGGTGGTCCCTCTTTCCACAGTGAGGTGTGATGGTCTTACAGCAGCTGTCAGGTACCGCCCTGCCTTCTGCTTGCCCTGACACAAGGTACTTGCTCACAGTCCAATCATGAGAATTGTTGCTGCCACAGCATTTGAACTGGAGAGGCAGAAAAAGGAAAGCCCAGACTTTAGTTCCACAGTGTGAGGCCATATCCCTCATTCTGATTAAAATATGGTTTCATGTATCATCTAGTGTAAACAAATTCCTAACATCAAGCCACTATATAAATATATTTTCACAGCAGTAATTTTCCTCTCAGGGACTACTTTCGCTCCGGCTGTTCCACTTGTCATCTTTGGAACAATGCTCTGTCTAAACCCAGATAGAATACACAGAGTGATGAGCCATTTTTTCTTCTACTCCACGTCAGCATAATTTTCAGCTTCATATATCAAATTAATTTATAACAAGTACAAGTATACTTAACCGCGCATGCTGAAGAGGGTGAAATACAATCTTACAGAAACTTGACACCAGAGGAGTTTGTAAATATATTTCATACATCCTGTTGTAGATTGTCAACCGCAAATGTGACTGCCTCCTTTCCTGGCTGAGCGTAGTTCTCTGTCATAGTGTGGTTGAGATGCTGCTTCAGCTCCTCACTCAGCTGGAAATGAGGAACAAAGAGAGAGACAGCAGGCATACACAGTGAGAAACAGTGTGTTTGAAACAGAGAAGGTGGGAAGGCTGGAGGGGTGGGTTGGAGGGGATCATTTTGGGGTAAAAACAAATGTTTTTGTGGTAACCCCCCCACGGGCTGCTTAATTTACGATTGCGCGTGCGATGTCTACAAAGAAGGGCATTGAAAAAAGTGATACGTAGGTGCAAATAGTGTGGAGGTGAGGGAGAGGATAAGGGGATGATAGATTGGTAGCATTGGGGAGTGCTGTGATGCAGAATACAGATAAACAAGACACTAAAAAAATTGACTAGGAATACAGCCTTTGATGTCTGGATATATTTTCTCACACTCACACAGGGTGCAGGAAACAATGCAAATCTTTATCTTTAAAGTGATTCTATCCCGTACTGAACCCTCTTCCATCACAATAAATCTGCCCAAAGATTACAAGATGCCCTATGCAGCCCTCACTGACTGAAGCTGACTGACAGCCAGATGTTTGGGCGATAACTAAATGCCAAGAATATCTAATGTGTTAGATACACTTCAGAGAGTCATGTCATCAGAGGAGGATCACTGAGGATGCTGCTTTAGAAAGCCTTTATTCCTGCTTGGTTCCACGCTCTTACTCGAATGTTCCCTTCTGATTTTTACAATACTGATGTCACTGTATTTTCTTTTATGATAATTGTTTTTAATGAATAATTTATCAATTATTTATAACTTATTAGATTATTAGTCTCTTGATTCACAAAAAGCACAGCTGAATTCATTCTTAAATAATAGGTAGCCGTCATCTACAGTAATCTAACATCACCCTGTTGATCCTGTAACTGCAATATATAAATGAATTAAAGGATCATCACTGCAGCTGACGTCTGAGCTGATATAAGTGAAAAGACCTAAACAAACCATTTTGACCCTCTTTCACAAAATTTACCCAAGTAGTTTAGCCAACTTAACCAGGTTTTGTTGCCTAAAGACTGAAAATTACTTCTTACTTCTTTCTTTCTTTGCTTGTTTTTTTAAGTCTTCTTTGACACTCTGCTACATTTCCATGCTTTAGTTTTATTAAATGCTGCAAAGGGTCATTTTAGACCGCTAGTAGGTTGCCATCAAGCAATATAATGACTTTATAATGTATAATGCATTATTACAGTTTTGTGGATGTAATCATCATGAAAGATTTTGTGAATATAAATGAAATAATGATAACAAATCATCAAATAATAATGACTACATAATAATATCCAATGCAGATGAGATGCACTCATGTGCAAATTCTGGCCGTTTAACTCCATGTAGGTGTAGGAAGAGTCAGCAAATAAACAGATTTTGTGAATTACAGTTTAATTCACCATGATCTCTTGCCTATGAGCCTTTGTTTTTTGGCTTTTACTACTAATTTTTCCCCTATGTTACCTTTCCCAGTCACAAGCTGTCACAACAGCCTGACTTCTAATCTGTAATTTTTGCTTCAGCGCAGGTCAATCTAATACTAGCAGCAGCATAACTGCACACTAACAAAATGCAGCTTAGTCAAAGGTGAGCCTGAAAGATGTTTCAAATGCCAAGCAAGTGCTCAAAAAAGAAAAAAGAAAGATATGTTCTGTTTATTTTTAGCCTCTGCCCCGTTTCCTCACTGACATCTTGACATCTGAATGTTCAAACTTTTCTTGCAGAACTTTATCTGCTTTGCAAAACGCCTGCTCTTTGATATATACCAAGAAGGGGAAAAAAAAAAATCATAATATGTATAACTCAAACCCAAAACATGATTATGATTAACATCCAGTAAATCACAAACGATTCCTATATCCAGTAGTCTCTCTGCTATCCCATCTGTAGTGTATTAATATGAGAAACGCCCCAGCACACTAGTTTGATGATGATCATCTGGATAGAAGTTTTTTTTAACCTCATTTTCCCACGTGCCTGCAGGCATAGATTAGCTGCTGCAGTTATTTCAACAAGGATAAACTGCAGCTTGGGTCATCACTGCACAACGTCACTCAGCTAAACCAGTAAAAAGTGACCACTTACCCTCTGGTAGTATACATAAGCTAGTACTCCGGCCACAAGTTCGATCAAGAAGATAAACAGGAGGCAGATGAAATACTGTGGATGAGAGACAGGACAGAAAGAGAGAGCAAAAAAGAATTTCAGTAAATTTGACTGAACACTCATTAGCTCAGTAGTCGCCTGAAGTATCTGGTTGCTAACTCAAGTTGCTCACGCTTGTGATGGCTCAATATAAACTTTCATCAACTGTCACCGCACTGCATCTGTCACTTCAAACGCAGATGGCAGTCCTGCATGAAATGAGACAACCAGAAAGCAATTTGACAGGCTGCAGAAACCCATTTCTCCTGGGCATCTTTACAGAGCTCCCCACATTACTAGAATAAAGTTTCACTATTTATCATAACTGATGTCTGAAATTATCTTAGAAAAAACAAAACAGTATTAGCACAGTATTCGAGCGTCATCCTCAAATATTATTATTTGATGTTAGCGTTTGCTTAGTATTTGAGCGCTACTCTCAAATACTGTGTTTAGTTTTCCTCTGCAAGAATGAAAAAGAATCAGACATGAGATGGGTGCTGAGGCAAAAAATAAAAATGAGAATAACAGAGGCTTTAACTGTAAGCGTCATTCTTAATGGCAAGCACTGTTGTATGTACTGTTATGCAAACAGTGTGACGAACTGATTGCCCACACAGAGAGTACTTTGATAGACTGCTGCAAAATGAGCAGATCAAAACTCCAGCTTTCCCACACTTAAATAACCCAACTTTTTTATTGTTCATCAGATGGTTTGTACACCCATCAAAACATGGCTCATTCCACATAATTCAAGTCCATATACAAACAGACACATAAACACGCACCTAACAGGGACCAGCTGTCACAGAGCGGGGAAACTCAGAACCATTATGGAGACACAGATGCTATTGCACAACCTGCTAGATGCACCAAACAAAGTGATTGAAAACTATTGGTAACAAACAGCTGTAAGGAAGAAATATTTAACACACGCACAAACAGATGTTCTTTTTTGTTTTGCAGCTATCGCAGTAATGATGCTGAGCAGAAACCCAGCCTGCTCTGCGTCTCTCTTGGTTACAAGATTGCGAAAAAAGCACTTCAGTCTCTGTGTGCCTGCTACCCACACAAAATGCCAACTTCACACTTCTCTATGCACACAACACTTACTGTACATGCTAGCATCACTCATTATTCTTCCCAAACAAATCTATAAATAGCACAAAAAAAAACAGTTGAACCAAACTGCACCGCAGATTCCGTTTCCTCCGCGCATCTACCTCTTCACTCCTGCAAGGCCCTTTCTCTCTCCATCCATCACCAGTAGATAGACAAACCTATAAATAGCCCTGCGGCAGAGAACGTTCACCTCCCGCCTCCTTCTCTCCCACTGGGTCCTGTCTCTGTAAAATAATGAGGACAGCGAGGGCCCCGTCAGAGTCATTCGTCAACATCTAGCGATAGACCTTAGACCAGGCTTAGCATGGATGAGCGCCATCGCATGTTGCCACATTTGTGTACATGTGGGCGAGCATCTAGCTTCTCACAGTGGACAATCTAGAACCACGGACCAGTAGACTATCAGGGCTGTTATTACATAACTTATTATTTATCTTCTGCAGTGTTTCCCCATTCAGTTACATTCTATTTATGCCAGCGTGGGACTGCTGTGCTCAACGAGGAGGCAAGCACACCCATGCTTTCTTAAGTGAATTATTCTATTCTCGTTCACCAGACAGAGTCCGAATCAGTCGTCTTGGACTGTAAGAGTGTTTTCCATCTCTGCAACCTTGGCGTAATGACATATAAAGCCACAACACAAGAGACTGTTAAGCTTCTGAATAATGACCAGGGATGCCAAAAAAAAAATGGCCCAAACTGCCTACAAGAAAGGAAAACGTGATGGGAAATGCAAGGGCTAGCTGGCTAAGTGGAAGTGACCTTTCAACATAAAAAAAGTGGATTCTCCACTAGCAAATATCGACTCGCCGTCTTGGATGGATGGCAAATTAAGACAAAAATGCTCAAACTCTACATTAATAAGTATTATTAAACAGATTTTTTAGGTTTTCCAGATGCAATGTTCTTTGGTAAAATCACAGCAAAATTACTGTCCATGTACACTTTCACGCCCTGCATTGACCATCTGCACTTTGACCTCCTATATTACAGCAAAAATACCCTTGGAAAAAAAAAATGAAAAAAAAAAAATATGATTAACTCTCTCATGCTCATTCTAAAAAAAAAAAAACTACACTCCTCTAAACCTTTAAATGACAAACTGGTAACTGTTCCAAAAGCATGAGTGTTTGCCATCAAAATATATTTTTTGTAAGTTCTGAGTTATGATCTACGTGCGGGTTAATTTTAAACACAGACTCTACATTGAATCCTAAGTGTAAGCCTAACCCACACCTTTACAGCTACAAACAAATGCCTGGACCTAAGCGGAAACCCCCATCCATCACTCTCTCGTCTCTCACCGTGGACAGACAGCTTCTCTGCTCCCGGATGACTGCACAACAGCCCAAAAAGCCTGTAACTACCACCAGGCTGCCAGCTAAGATGAGGGTGTATGCTGACACAGCAAAAGTGCTGGAGGCCAGTAGGCTCAAGTAGTCGCTCTTTGCCACCAGTGTCCAGACGCCCACACCCAGAACAGCAGCTCCTCCCATCTGGAGAAGAATTAAGAGAAGCAGAGAAAAAGTAACAGGATTAAAAAGACATCTGAATAAAAACATAAATAAAAATGTTTAGTGCAGCACGAAGTGTCATACTACAGAGACAAAAAACGCACGAGATATGAAATGTAACTGAATTTAACTAAGTGTACCATGTCAGTTTATTATTAAAGAATAGCAAAACACAAGTACTGTAACATTCAAGCGAAACATTTTTCAGGGCAGGAAGTGATCAATTTAAAGTGAACTCAAAGCTTTTAGATGAGTCACTTAGAAAAAGAAAAGGAAATGGAACAGAGGAAGAGGGCATAAAGGAGGCAAGAAAAAAAAAAGAGGAAACAGAATGAGAAACAGAGAAAAGTGACCGTGCGTAACAACTAACAGGAGTGGTGAGACGTCTGCAATCAAGCCAGGGCATAATGACCACTTACTTAGAAACAATACAGAGTAACTGATCCAGGGTGGCTTCCTGATCTCTTTTTCTCATCTTGCAAGTTTCAAAGGAGGGCAAATAGGAAATGCCTGAGAGAGTCTTTCTTCATCCTCCCATCCCTTTCCTTTAGAAGGAAGGACCTCTTACTCACAACACCACATATCCAACCGAGGACCAACCAGTGGGAAATCACCCTTCTCTAACACTGTAAAGACATTTCTTCTAACAACTAAGTTCCACTGAATTACATTTTTTTAAGTTGGCTATCACTTTTTCTGAAAGTAGTTCCCAATACTGTTCTCATATCTCTGTACTATCACTGCTCAAAATAAAATTACCGCCTTAGTATCTGCCAAGTAGTGAAGCTGCACTTTACATCCATGTCTATCCAGACTTAACCTTAAACATCTTACGTAACTTGAAATGTTGCCAGAAATGTTTTACCACAAAAATCTAATCAGTTCATTCTTGAGTCCAAGTGGAAATCTGTGCAAGGTTTGAAGAAAGCTGAAAACACAATCACACCATCCTCAGCTGTAACTGACAAGGAGGAGGCAGAGTAAAATGGCATCAGGGTGTGGTTCACGCGATCGTGTGAGGGGATCACAGAGTAGCTATTTGCCGATATATCAGTACCGACGTTTGTAGCCGTCAATAGATGATAATTAAACAAGAAAAGCAGAGACAGGAGGAACAACCTTCACCCATGTTGAGTATGGATGCTACATAGTTTCACCATCAGAGTGTACTTGTCCACCAGACAGCGTAAATTAATAATCTAAGATTATGTCAATAAATCAAGATTATTTTTAAACTGCATTGGTATATTACCTTAGTAAGGACTCATAAATAACTGTACCTAACATGTGTGAGGGAAACCAGTTCATGTTTACCATTTTTGAAAGAAAAAAAAAATATCGGCTGATATATAAAAGATTTAAAAATCTCCAAATATCGTTATCGGTCCTAAATATCCTACATCAGAAAGGCTTGACACACTGCATTAGTAATATATTCATATATAATAAATAACATATAAAAAAAATCAATTGAAAAAGTCTCTGGCAAGTCAAATTTGGAGGGGAAGGGGAAACACTACGATATACTGCCAAATCTATATTTCATTCTACCCTCAATTAACCAAACAATCATGCTTTAACCGGCCATTAATCACATCAGCTGGATTATTTTCTGAGCACATGTCAAACATTACTTTATTCAATTTTGCTTTAACTAATGATATCTGTGTTTTTGATGACTGCCAATAACAGCGCCGTGAAAAACAGGGACAAATGAGAAATCCCTAGATGATGCACTCTCTTTTAAAAGTAATGTGCTAAGAAAGTGAAAAACAGAAATGGCCAATGCCAGTTCATCCTCACAGAGTATGCACTGCTCCCCCGCCTATGATTAATTTGTGTAGGGGGTGGACAAAAATGCCCTCTTAGAAAAAAGTGTTGCGAGATGGAGGACAGCCTTCAGAGGAAAATGATACTATTTTTCCTCAAGAGACTGGTTGTTAGGTGGCGACAGGGAATTTAATAGAGGCCTAAAGCTAAAGCTTGATCCCTTTTCTCTTTCTAACCTCTCCCACTTGCAGATCTGTCTCTCACTCCTCAAAATCTTCTTTTTTGACTCTGTAAGCCCGGAGACTCTGCACTGATGCTGTAAGAGAGCGGAGCTTTAGCAGCATAAAGTGTGGTGCCAGAGAGCAGGTTTAATACACTGTGTGGCCAGAATACACTGACAAGCCCTAAATAATCTATGACTCACTTTGAACTCAGTCCATAGCTTAGCCTAGGAAGACTGAAAACTTTCCTTAATCCTCTTCCTATTTCTATGTGGCTCTGTATGAGCAATGTCTCTAAAAAAAAAAGCAGTTTTAAAGGAACACAGACAGTTTTACAGAGTTGCTACTGATGTTGTCAATGACGATCCAATTCACCAGGAGGTTAAATGTAAAGCTCAGTTATTGTGGTGAGGTCTCTGTGAGTACACATTACTTGAAATGAGGATTACTAGCCACTTACCCAGAAGAGAAAGTTGAAAACAAAGAGCAGGTACTTGAGGCACACGGTCACCCAGTCGTTCTGGTCATCTTTATAACCCACCGACATCTTTTTGTCTTCAGTTGAATTCTATAAGTGCAGATTTGTTTGTTGGAAACATTACATTTTCCTGCAAAGTACTGCTAAAAAATGTATCACAATAAAAAAAAAAATCTTACTATAGTTTTCTTTAGATGTGTTTTTAGCATTTACATTCCTTCCTTTACCCAAAAATAGCTAAACAAGTATTGTTCACACATTTACACTTATCCAGCTGCACATAACTCCCATGTCCCAGACTTCTCACTGCACAACATATTACTAGTTGTTTAGTGATGCAGCATCCAAGGCCCCAATATGACATGCTTTTGTTATATCACAAACCACATCTTTGAATTATCACTAGGACATGTCCCTATGAATCATTAATTGAGCTTCTAGTCTTGGCCCTGTAAATAAAAGGCCGTGGGTGTGGAAAGCACTTAGACCTATACAATTGATCTAAATAGCATCCTTCAGCGGACAGAGCATAAAAGAAAATGTTGCAGCTTTTCTGTCTGCCGGCTCAGGAATAATACACATAATACTGTAGGTGTAGATCTGAGAGGAAAAGTGATGAATAAATCATTTGTTGGGGATGAAAATGAATAAGGTAAACACGCAAGCTAGTAAGCTTGCTAAAGGGTCAGCTTGTCTACAAAGGAAGAAGGAAAACGAAAGGAAAAATTGTCTCTCCATGCATGAGATTTTCCACTTCATTCAGGCTTTGAGATATTCCATCTACCTTTACTCATAAACAATAAATGGGAATGGGGTTTCATCTGAAATATCTACAGCATTTTCTACAATACTTCAGTTATCTTTTGATAATTTACCTTAATTGCCTTGTTTTTAGATTTTATCTGACATGTTGTGGAGCAACAATGCTCCAACAATGCTCTCTCTCTAAAGCATTTGTGACTAATATATGAAGAACAGAAAAAGTAAACATAAAACTGATGAAAAAAAGCATAGGTGTGTCTATAAATAGCAGTGAATCAAGTTTTATTTTGAAGTTTCAATAAGCAGTTACCTTGCAGATTTTGTTTTTTAATAATTCATTTAAATGTATTAATAAATTATTCTATAGACTATTTGCTTCTCAGCAGCATAACAAGAAAATTATATACGGCTGAGTTGCTGAGTCAATAACTATTATTGATCAACATAATGTATATGCTTCTGAAATGGGTCCATTGTATAGAAGGTGAGAGAAGGTTCCAGATCTGATAAGTAAACCCAGTGCAGAAGTGTTAACATTACTATTCTTTCTTTTTATTTAATTGTTTTTTCGGCCAGTAGGGGGCGACTGTGGCAGTATAAAGACAAGGTTTGTGGAAAATAAACCACTCTTTCAATGGCAATGGAGAAAACTGTATAAATATAAATTTTTAAAAAGGGAATAAAAAAAATAAAAAAATAAAAAAACAGGTTTCCATCAAATAAATCTTTTATGATAATTTACCCAGTCCCTGGTGTTCATCTGTACTAAGTATAGTCTGCAAGATCTCTGTTTACTGGGTGCGAAGCGTCCACATTTATATACCCTGGAGGAGGCTGTAAACTTTCTGTAAGTCCAGGAATCTCACTACTGACTGATGACAGTGATAGTGAGGTAAGTTATTGAGGTTATCCTTAACTTTTCCTTAAGGTTTGTCATCTTTTTTTCAGGAGACAAAGCTTCAAGTGAGAACAAAGAGCTGTAGGTGAGGGAGTAGAGAGCAGTGGTGGGAGAGTCGGATGAAGAAGAGGAGGAGTAAGAGGCAGATGATGTGGAGATGGCAGAGAGAGTGAGCAGGATGTATAAAACCCAAAGAGCAGACAAGGAGACAGGGTCGGGAACAGCACAGATGAGTGCCTTTGAACCACCATGTAGTCCAGCTTCTTCAGTCCGGCCCAGTGTGGTTCAGCCACAACCAGTATCTGTGGTCAGTGAGCTTCTTATTAATTTGATTGAGTAACTGATTTTATTTCCTATTTTATTTCACAGTAAGGAGGTCCTGGGTTTGAATCCATTGGCCGGCTGGGGCCAAACTGTGTCTAATGTTTACATGTTCTTCCCATGCAATTATGCATTCTCTCCCAATACTTTGCATTCCTCCCAGAGTCCAAAGTCATGCATGTTCTATATGTGTAAGCCCTGCCATAGATTTGCAACTAGCCCTAGGTTCAGCCTGCCAATTGCAATGGAAAATGACAAAAATTGAACAGAGTAGAGCAGAGGAAAATCAAGCCAAGTAGGTGCTAGTGGAAAAGAGAATCTTGTGCAGTTCCATTGTAATGCAATCTGTAGTGGGGCACAGAACACTACAAAAAAACCCCAAAAACAAAACAAACAAAAACACCCTGAGGTTTACTTTTAACATAGTATTCCCCATGCCCCCCTTATCCTCTTGGTTCCCCTTATGAACCCAAATTTTAAAATATCCTTTAACCTCCCCTGTAAATACAGCCAAGTTTCCTTTCCGTGTTCGTGCCTACTGCAAACTATTAAATGACAAATAAAATTTAAATGAAATTAAACAATTTGTCTGATTTTAGAGCGTCTAAGCTGGCCGTTAACTCTTTCCTAACAAGGCCTTCCTGCTTCTAACAGTCTGTCCAGATGAATTAGGAGGAAACGAACACGGGTCCCCCTTAAAAAGAAAAAGAAAAAAGCCAGGTCTCGGACATTTTAGACTTTAACCTGCGCTGTTGTGCTCCAGCATCACAAGCTACGAATCAATACACAGACACTTAAGTCCTTTTCTGTGTAAGTCAAACTTTCCCCCCCTCTTCTTCAAGATAGCTGTCCTGAAAATCCTGAAAAAATAAATGTCCCACCTGCGTTGCCGATGGCAGGACAAAGTTTAAACACATTATCTCACAGTTGGACAGACAAACAGGCGTTTTCATCTTATATCTGACCACATACTCACCAGACCGACGTTTAAGGCTGGAAAAAGGACCTTGTTTATCTCCGTCTACTCAGAGTCTACGGCACCACTGCAGTGGGCGTTTTGTCCGGTCCAGTCAAGCTTGTTGCTTTCAGGGTGTCCGACAGTCTGTGCGGATGGTGCTTTTGCTTGCAGCTCGTATTTTCGAGTTTCAAGAAAATTCATTACATTGATTTGTAACAAATTGTAATAAAATGAACTCCATATATGTGCAGGTAGACACTAAAACTACAAAATGAATCAATACAAATAGCCTCCATGTTTCAAATACAACAATTATTACTTACAGTGTAGGTTACAGTGAGTTCCAACAATGACCTCTCTACTCACACGCAAAATAAAACAAAGTACATCATTTACTTTGTTGGTACAGATATTGCTGCCGAGTAAAAGTATGATTGTGTAAAAATATTAAACAGTCTGGGTAGTAACAGAAATCTGCATAATAGGCATAGCAACGGGTAGTCAAGGAAGGCTGCAGTAGTTAACCGTGTCACATAGTAGGGAGTGACAGAGAAGGAACTGACTCAATACCACTATGTAGTCTGAATACCACAGTGCCATTAACAGCATAACCTTGGTTACAATGTAACCACAACCCCTCTGAAGAATTTTCCAATAGGGTGTGCATGACTAACCAAAGACAGAGTCAAAAAAGCATAATTTACTGTGAGCATAGCCTTGGCACATTGGCTTGTTTGCATGCAGGTTCTATTCATTTCTATTACTACAGTTGGATAAATCTGATTAATAATTCTAGTCATGCCACTTAACACATTTCAATTTGCTCTTCATAATGTGAAGTTGACTATGAAATTATTGAACAGACCAACTCTGTGACCTCAAAGAGAAAAATGGAAATTTGGTATTTCAGGAATGAGCCTATCAGCATTAATTTGATTGTCTAGACGTTTTTTTTTTGTTTGTTTTTTTACAATTCAGCAATAATTTAATCACCAAAGAATACAAAAAAAGCAGGGAAAAATAAAGAGATAAAACTGTAAAAAAAAAAAGGTAAACACCATGGTAATTCTGGTACCCACTTAAATCAATGTTAACAACATAAAAACTACCTTACTCCTATGTCACTTCTGTTGCTTTACATCCCTGTCCAACCAGTGTGTTCAGTGATGAGTTTTTATTGTAATGATAAATCTTTATCACAACAAGGCATCCTTTTCTGAGCAAAACAGACTCTGCAGTGGGCTGTTTCCTCTATTTCCGCCTCAGTAATTCAATGTGCTTGCAAGCTTTTAGAAATAGATGGTGGCTGCAGGCCTCGGCAGTGGGCACCTGGACTGGCGACAGTCAGTCTAAGAAAACAGCATTACTTAGCAGAGGATGTCATGAATCAGGTCAGGTTTTCCCCAATAAATATTGTCTAATCAGAGTGTGATAAAACAGGCCATCATCGTCCCATGGCTAGCAACTTGGAGCCTGTTTTCCACTTTCTCATAGGTGAGACATGGCAGAATAAACAGAAATCTGGCTTAAATGGTAAATGGTCTGCATTTGTATAGTGCTTTTCTAGTCCCTAAGGACCCCAAAGCGCTTCACACTACATTCAGTCATTCACCCATTCACACACAGGCGATGGCAAGCTACATTGTAGCCACAGCTGCCCTGGGGCGCACTGACAGAGGCGAGGCTGCCGGACACTGGCGCCACCGGGCCGTCTGACCACCACCAGTAGGCAAACATGGGGTTAGTATCTTGCCCAAGGATATTTGGCATGCAGCCAGGAGGCAGCCTGGGATCGAACCACCGACCTTCTGATTAGTGGCTGACCTGCTCTGCTTAGCCAGCTCTTTTCAGTGCCAGACCATTCCCTCTGTGTCCAGTCCCATTCTGCTGGAGTTACTTTATCACCTTTCATGGTTTTGTAACCCACTAGGCTCTCCAATTCTTTCTCTCACAAAGGGGTAGGAGTAGGTCATGACTGAGTGTGCATGTCAATCACAAACAGGTTAAGGGGAAAGCAAACATTGTGTGCACTGGTGTGTGCATGTGTGATTATTGCATCCATTCATTTAAATTTCACATTCTTCCTAACCAATTCTTAGCACCAGTTGCTTATCTAGCCTTCTATTCACGTCATAAAGAGAAGACAAGAAATTTAAAAAACAAGAAATGATACTTGTTTAAAGAGCTACTCAGATCCTACTTCTTATGGCTGACTTCTTGTACCCAGACTGCCACGTGCTGCAGTGCCTGCAGTACAATTCAGGCAGATTATAGGTGCCAAATTGCAAGAGATAAGAAACATCAAGAATCTTACAGAGTTTTATCAGCTTGTGCTAACCTCGTTGCTATTTTTCTTTGATGGATTAGGAAAGGTCAGGATGAACTACAGGATTTCCTGGACATGAACTAAGCGGCTGCTGTAGATAAAATAAGAAATTGTTACAGTGAAAGCTTGAGGGACAAGTCTTCCTGCCTCACAAGACACAAGCATACGCACAAAGAACTAGAGGACTAGAGAAACACAAGCACAAAGAAGTAGAGAAACACAAGCAGTGAAAGCAATCTGTGTGTGGGAACTCTGGGACAATGTCAACAGATGGAACTGAGCATACTAAGCAGAGCAACACCATGTAGCATCAGCTGACAGATTCACAACGGAAACAAGGGAGGTTGGAGTAGCCATCAAAAACTATAATTAATCCCAGAGTGTTTTTTTTTTCTTTTTTTTGTTTGTTTTGTTTTGGGGTTTTTTTGAAGGCACTCGAGATTTTTAATCTAGCATGGAAAATGTGTGCACACCTTATTCTAGCTTTACAAACCATCTCAGTTGTCCATCAGCTAGCTGGCCTGCGATTCTGGTCCAAGTAAAAATCACAGCTATCAGTGTGAACACTTCTCCATACATGCATTTTCCCAAGAGGACGGATCCGAATGATTTGAGTGATTCGCACACGTTCCATCTAGCACCCTCTGGAGGCTAACGCCTGTGGGTTTGAGCAAACCGCCTCAACACCTTTACAAACAATACAATTCCTTAATTTAGTACATTTTACTTTATCCTATATAAGTATAAGGTTTTAACACGTAACCAATTTACTTTAGCCTATAATTTAGAACTTTTTTTAATCCATAATAAATTTACCTACATAAACCCCAAAACGAGCTTCCCAGAGCCCCCTTAGTTAAGTTCTTATCTTTTTTTTTTTTTTTTTTTTTTTTTTTTTTTTGCGCTTTTAAATTATATATATTTTTAATGCGGCTCACACCAATTTTAATGTCATGAAAGGGTTAAAAAAAATTAAGAGGCGTATCGTAAGTGACCACTGGGGGAGGGCCGCTTCTGGACGCCAACGTGTTGAAACGAAACTTAAGTAAAACCCCTCAAAGAGAACTGTTTTTTAAATAGAGAAAGTTTGCTTTCTATTTTTCGCAGCTTTTATTAATCAGAAACTTGAGACTTTGCAGGTATGGTTACTTTACTGGTTTCTTACACAGTCTGAGCAGTTTGTTCAGTCCACTGAGTTGAATTGTATTAGTTTTAGGTTATTAGTATTCATTTATTTATTGTATTTCGCTCTTGTGCAGATATGGCAACTGCCAGCAGTCTTTTGTCAGAGGAGAGGTTCTTATGCTGCATCTGTTTGGACGTGTTTACCGAGCCAGTGTCAACCCCGTGTGGACACAACTTCTGCCGCCCGTGTATCCACAAGTATTGGGACTCTAGTGACGTTTGTCAGTGTCCATTTTGCAAAAGGACATTTTCTTCGAGACCTGAACTCAACGTCAACACTACCATGTCTGAGTTAGCGGCTGAGTTTGCAAAGCTGGTCCAAGTCAAAGTGTCAACTTCAGACCGAGAGCTCCCAGAAGGAACAAATGTTCTTTGTGATATCTGCACCGGGATGAAAGAAAAGGCCGTTAAGTCTTGTTTGATGTGCCTTACTTCTTTCTGTGTAGTCCACCTGGAGCCTCATCAGAGAGTTTCAGTGCTTAAGAGCCACAAACTAATCGATCCTGTGATTAATCTTGATGAGAGGATGTGCAAAAAGCACAACAAGATAACAGAACTGTATTGTAGGACTGACAAGGCCTGTGTTTGTGTGTTGTGTTTCAAAAGCGATCACAAGAGTCACAATGTCATCTCGCTAGAGGAAGAGTATGAGGCTGTGTTAGCAAAAAATGATGAGGTAATGGCAAATATCCACAAGATGATACAATCACGATGCGATAAGATAGATGCAATTGAAAAGTCACTTGATGCCAGCCAGAAAGAAGCCGATGAAGAGAAAGAAGCCAGTGTGCAGATGTTTACTGACTTCATTCGCGCTATTCAGAAGAGTCAAGCTGATGTTGTTGAGGTGATTGAAGAGAGGCACAGAGCGATGAAACAAAAGGCTGAAGGTTTTCTGAAAGAGATGAGGATGGAAGTTGCTGAGCTTAAAAGCAGAATAAGCCAGCTGGAGCAGCTGTCACGATCTGAGGACCATCACTGTCTTGTCCAGAACTTCTCAAGCTTACGGGCTCCTTCAAGTAAGGGCTGGTCCAGTGCTGGTGTTTACAGCAACTTGTCTTTTAATGAAGTGAGAAGAGCCATGGCTCAGGTGAAACAAACAGCTGATATAATTTTGGAGAAAGTTCCAGAGATCAAAATGAAAAGAATGAGAGAACATGCAGTAGACTTGACTATTGATCCCGACACAGCACATTGCTCACTTACCATTAGTCAAGACCGAAAACAAGTTGGAACTGCAGAAAAACAGAATCTTCCAAAAAATCCAAAAAGATTTGAGATGTATCCAGAAGTCTTAGCAAAGGAGGGCTTCACAGGGGGGAAGTTTTACTTTGAGGTGCAGGTGAAAGATAAGAGTAAGTGGACTGTTGGAGTGGTGAGAGAGTCTGTAGATAGAAAGGGAGACACACGTCTATCAGTTTCAGATGGTTATTGGACCATCGGATTAAGTGAGGGCAAGTATTATGGATATGAAAATTCAGCTGTTATATTGGTACAGTTAAAAAAGCTTCAAAAAGTGGGCATCTTCGTGGACTACGATAAGGGAGTGGTTTCTTTCTATGATGTGGATTTCAAGTCACACATCTACTCTTTCAGTGGCTTTCGCTTTAAAGACAAACTTTATCCATATTTTTGCCCTCATTATAACACAGACAAAATGAATGTTGCCCCTCTTGTCATAACACCTGTACCTCACAGATTAGCTTAGTATGATCCTCATTTGCAGAAGACAAACTAGGCTTCAGCATTTCCATAATCAGTATGTAAAACTATATCTGCTTGGAAGTTCATCACAAGATCATTCTATATGTTTGCCTTCTTTGTCTAATGTAATATGCTATGATGTTAATATATTTCAGTGGCTAAAATTACCAGCTGACTTCATAATGTAAGTAAGATAGACTTTGACAAGATATTTGTATGTATATTTTTGTATTTAGACAAGGTTACATGCAGGTGAATTTAAAAAAAAAAAAAATTACACACACACACAGAAATTCATGCCAGACCTTCTGCTTTTTGTTATCAAATTCAAATTAAAAGCTTTATCAGATTCACAGAAAGAGATGATACTAAGATGAGAAGATGAACTCTCTGTTTAAGCTGTTTTTTGTAGTTAGCAGTAACTGGAAATGAATTGATTTTATGTATTTGAAAAGTTACCTGAATAAACTTCACGTCAAGACTGATTTTCTCATATCGTTCCTTTATATTGCATTCCTCATAGTTTAGGCAGAACTCATATAAATACAAAAGGACTGTAACGTCTTCCCTGTGCCATTTTGACCCATTGAATGCACTACATTGCTTCAAAAGATTACAGTGGCTCTGGTTAAGTGTGTGCATAAGACATAACACACCTTGAAGAAGATATAGAGATATTTAATTCTTCATATAATTACAGGCTAAAGGTCAGTGTCGCCGAGCCTTGCTGCTACCCTGCTTGGAGTCTTTAACACTATAGGTTTATGATGGAACTTGCTGCGACTCACGTCTTTGTCACGCTCACAGCTTTGTGAGACTTATAAGTCAATCAATAGTATTCTGCCCACTGCTTTCACTCCTGACTCCTGCCTGTGTGCTCCTGCCCCCACACTGATTTGTGTGGATGATAAAGTGTATGCGCTCGCATTATCCTCAAGTGTGATGCGTGGGCTGATCTTCTTAAGCACCACTGATGGAGCTCACCCATAACTGTGACTAAAAACCAGTGTGTTTCATTGTGTGTTGTCTGTCATTAATGGGAAATGAGCCCATTTTTCCTTGCGACAAATGTTTTGTTATGTTTTTCAAAGTGGGTTACTATTAACTGAATCCTTTGATAGACTATGAAAAGACTGAGGGAGAGTAATGAAAGAGGTACGGATACTTCTGGAAATGGAAATCAAACATTGTGCGATGAAAGATATTTTGACATTCTTGGAAGAAGGCAGCGTGAATATTACATTGCAGGATTTAACTGCATTATTCTCTCCTTAACATGATCTTCTATCCCATCTTAAGCAAAACATATACTTTTTTCTTTTAGTCGTATGTCTAAAAGACTGAGGAGGGCCAACTGTGTAATCAGGTGTAAAATAGAAATAGAATGATTTAGGGTCAGCTCTACATGAGGTTGATGTGAAATACAAGGGGAGAAATCTCTGACCTGAAACAACACCAGTGAATATCGGTAGGCTAGTGGGAAGAAAAAAAAAAGTCTAAAAATGGTCAATCACACTGCTCTCTATTGATTCAAAGTACACATTTGTTGTGCTTAGAGCCACAACACAATCAGTGATGACACAGCAGGTGTTTTGACTTTTGCAGCCACTAAAAAAGCACCTGCTGTGACTTCTGATTGGGATGAAGAAAGAGGGCAGCATGCTTAAAAGTTACAGGAGTTACAGTAATGTACAAAAGTCTTGAGCCACTCTTCATTTCTTTAGATTTTGATTCCACAGAGCCAGACTTGCTTGTCATTTTTTATAATGGTCTTGAAAAATCTCCAGGCTTTCTGAAGGCCATTTGAGATGTAGCTGGCCCTTCATTTAAACAGCCTACTGTTCACTGAAACCTCATCAAAAGTTATCTGAGTTGGAAGGGTGGCTGTTAATAAGCCATTCTTAAGGAAGGAGAACAGAGAAAAATAAGGCTGAGGTGTGCCAAATTACACAAGAAATTGACTGAAAAAAAAATCAGCTGTAATATGTCTTATGGAGTAATGAATCCAAATTTGAAATATGCATGGAAGAGGTCCGAAGAGAGATACAACAGTGAATGTCTATAGCCATCTTTAACACAGCGTGGATACTCTACCGTGCTTTGAGGCTGGATTTCAGCCAGTGTTGTTGGAGCTCTTATCCAAATTAATCAAATTATGAATGTAGAAAAGTTCCACCAGATTTTGATCGACCATGTAATACCATGTAGTGTCTGATTGGCAGCAACTTCATTTTTCAGTACGACAGTGATCGCAAACATACTGCCAATGTAGTCAAAGTATGCCTGGATGAAACAACGCATCAGTCATGGATTGATCTCTCCAGGGTTCGAACCTCAAGATAATCGAAGCAGTGTGGGATCATCTTGACAGAAAACAAAACAAAAGGCAGCCAGCATCCAAAGAAGAGTCTCGGATGTGTTTCAAGAAGCCTGCAGAACTAAGAAATTACAAGAAAGCTTACCTATTAGAGTTTAAGCTGTGTTGAAGAATGAAAGGCAGCTTTAACTGAACAAAAGGGGAAAAAAATCCCACATTGACAGCTAACTCAAGAGACAAAAAGCATTAGAACTTAAGTCATTACCTTACTTAAGGATAAATAAGTTAATTAATTACATTAACACATAAGCAGAAAATAACCTACAGTAACTACTTTCCGATATGGAAGTGCAAAAGACAACTGAAAGGGAGGATAGTTTCTATATATGTGGTTTCTATTAAGGGACAGAGGAACGATAAGAAATGATAAGAAATCAAGGACAAGGAGTGTGGTGTAGATAAGTGAGGAAATCCGATCATTACTACAAATTTAGTTGAAATTTAAATATTTTAACTATGGTGTGTGAGCTGGGCCCCTGGGTGCCTCCTGTGCGAGCTTTACCGGGGATGTCCTACCGGGAGGCTAGATTACATCTCTTGTCTGGCCTATAGGAACGCCTCGGTGAGTCCAGGAGGAGGGGAATGGTTTGCTGAGGCTGCTGTCCCCCAACAACATAAAACGGATGGATGGATATATTCTAACACTTAAAATAAAGATTCCAAAACGGAAATGATCGAATAACGTATGAAAAAATGTGCTCAGAAATTAATGTATATGTGTATTGTTTGAATGGACCTGCTCTGACTGATTTTCATATCACAACGAATACATGACTGTTTCCATGCGTTGTCTGTGGTAGACTACTCAGTCACGAATCGGGTCAAATAGCTTTTTTTGTACGTTTTGGTTGTAACACTGAAAAAAGATATCGTCAAAATCATTTTCAGCTTTCCACAAATTACCATGAAATTATAAACGGAATCAACTTTCAAGTAACAATGTAACTATAACATGATTCTGATAGGCTTTGTGCCAAGTAATTAAAAACTATTTACTGCTACTAATCGGAAGCTGCACACCTTTAATCGATTTACAATTCAGATATCATTAAGGGACCTATAGGTAGCCTACACCTCTCTCAACATTAAACAGCCTCATGGTCAGAATTAGCATACCACGTTTGTATTGCAGTTGTTGTTTTTTTCTTCTCCAACTCAAACACCTGTGTTATATAAGCGAGCCACTAAGAATCTTGCCGGTTGCCTGGGTCCTTTAACTGTGGGAAAGTCTGGTGTGAGAAGGAATCTAGCTTTGAGAAGGCAGAGATTAAGCTATTCTTTTTGGTGACAGTTGTATTTTTGTCACCACTCGTTTCATGTCGTCAGCGGGGTCCCAGTTTAACGGGCAGGCGGGTGCACACTAAGCAGTTTGAACTCCCCTTTTTAAACTTTCTCTGCGGAGAAAGCCTTCGGCGTTACAACTAAAAGGGCTTTAACACAAAAAGATGCGACTTTTGGTGTCGGAGTCCCTGTGATGAGAGCTGTTTCCAAGAGATGAAGTGGCTGATGAGAAGCATTTTTGTGGAACTGCTTTTGTAATACGCGACTGAATGTCTTTCTTGGTGGTGGTGCGGCACATTTCGCGTCTTCTCTGATAGCCTGCTTTTACCGGAGATGTAAAAATGAGCGAGCGGGTTACGCTGAAGCGGCGCACGAGGGTTTTAACGGAAGGACCGACTAGTGCTGGTATCAAACCTACAACCTTCTACTCGCAACACCATCTCTCCAGCCAATAGACTGCTCTGCCTCCCTGAGTCCTCCCACTAAAAACAACCTGTATCGCATTTATAGTATGGATATCCGAACGTTTCACCTCGCTCAAATTCATATTCACAACTTTCCACCGGGAGTGGGTTTAGCCTAATTTGTAAGAAATTGTGATACATTCTTAGAATGACCCTCACTTTTCCGTGTGTTCCAGTCATATTCTGTGGCTCTCTGTTATTTTTCCCACGTTTCTATTAGGATTTCAGAGCCCTTAAAGGCTACAACACTTAAAAGAGTTGTAGCCTAAATCTCGTCAGCTCTCATGGGACTGAGGCATTCGTCGCGTTGTTTGCTGCTACGGCGGAAGATGGCGGAGGCGGACAGCTCAGAGGTAGGGACCTTGTGGTGTCCTGCACCGCATTTAGCGGGACCGGTGAACTCTCCGTCTGGTATTTTTTGATCGTGTCAACACATTTGGTGTAGATATTATGCATATCTCTGTATTTTTCAGCGATAATTATGGAGACGAGTTTAAGAATAGATTTTGCACTGATGGCTTGTAAGCTAAGTAAAGTGCATGTCCTGCAGATGTCAGGACAGCTCTAGACTCAAAAGACGCATGGAAATGCAGTTAAAATAGACGATGCATATGGAATATTTGCATTTTGATTAAGTGGTTCATTACTGATGCACGGACATGGGCTGCTGAACGTGATAATGTCCGCTGTCCTTGGTGCTGAAGCGGAACCTGCATCTCTTGCCGGCTCCTCCATGAGTGCACAGTGTATCACCGCTGTCTCATATGTGTTATGGAAATGGCTTTACAATACAATTAAAAAACATTTCAGAGTTTATTCTTGGTTTGAATTGAATGATCTCTCTAGAAGACCGTTATTAACCTGTAACCTATGTATTCCCATAATTTCGTTTTAAACCATTAACTTGACTGTGATGTCTAAATGATGCTACAAACTCTCCCTTTTTTTTCTTTTCTTGTATGTCCTTAACAGAGGCAGCAGCCTGTAATGTCCCCCATTTCTCAGTCTGCTCAGCCCTCCCCACTGCCTAAACCAGTGCCTACTACCCACCATGTGCCCTGCGTTCCCCATACGCCTCATGTAGCAGCACTGGCCACCTGTCCTGGTCGAGGCAAGATTGCCAAGTTCATCAGCCCCGAGGAAATGACATCACGGGACTACTACTTTGACTCTTATGCTCACTTTGGCATCCATGAGGTATGCAGACAGGGCTGGAAAAACAGCAGCTTGGTATGATTAGAATTTTTTAAAAAAGGCACCCCCTTGACTCTTTCTATCTTTGCCAAGGAATTTCAACCATGCTTGGCTGGCTTTACACTAGTAGGATATGTCAAAAAATAACCTAAACACTATAATATACAAGGACAATTGGGCTTTTATTTTGATTTTGATGCATATTCTTATGCTGTATTTTCAATAACTGTGAACCTTGTGCATACAGAAATCAAACCTTCAGTTCAGTAGATCCACTTAAGGTAACAGATGCCAAGGGAAAGCCTAACGAACGACTAAAAGCAACAAAATGGAGACAAATAAAAACAGAACTCTCAGAATCTGCCCTTAAAAGGAGTTTGAGATTTAAACAAAAGCATCTGCAACATTTTTGAAATTATTAAATTTATCGAATAATAAACTCCCAGCATGAACCAAACTTTAAGTATTAAAAGTGATTTCAGTAGCTGACAACTGACAAAACACAAGGCTTTTCTATTACCAAGCACCACTAAAAACATTATATGCATGGTAAAAATCCATATTCAGCACTCCAGTAGTAAAAAGTGTTTGTTTGTCTTTTAAAACTATCTGAAGTAAAGTGCCAAGGCCACAGCCCAACTAATGACCTTGGTATGTGACAAAGAGATGGTGGAAAAGTTTAGGAACATATAGACCTCTTAAACAGTGTCTGCATTTAGCATATAGGTCAGCTTTTTGTCTGCTTGCAGTCAACCAGTGTGTCCTGATTAAAGCAGTGCAAAGTGAAAAAGAAGGAAAGTGGGATATGTGAATGGGCTCAGGGAGAAGGGTATCAGGCAGTCCCCAAAGGCTTTGTGTTGTACTCCTGTCTATTTCAAGAAGCTCTGCCACTGTCACTAACGCTTTTGGCCTAAATACTGCCTTTTCCATATCATTACTCATGGAAAAAAAATCAATGTATTCTCAAAACTGCCCACACTTGCCACAATGTAGATCCATTATGTAACATAATGTGTAATATGTATTCCTTTGAGGATTTTTATGAATCACACTGCTCTTTGGTAGTTGAGTTTTTGGTCCTTTGTATGCGTGCCGGTACTGGAAAAATCATCAGGTAACATGGACTCTTACTCTTATTATCACTGCAGGAGATGCTGAAAGATGAGGTGCGGACACTGACCTACAGGAATGCCATGTACCACAACAAGCACGTGTTCAAAGATAAAATAGTCCTGGATGTCGGTAGCGGCACTGGAATCCTCTCAATGTTTGCTGCCAACGCCGGTGCCAAACATGTGTACGGGGTGAGACAAATAGATGAACTATCTGACCACAAACAAATGCTTCACTGCAATCAAACATTCACTGCTGTTGTTTAAATCTTTATGAGAGAAATAGTTGCAGTCTACACATATTTGACTTCTGACTCCTCCATATCAAATACATTTATTTTAAAAAAGTATCCTGGCTTTTTAAAAATGTATCTTAAGAGCTTGTCAGGCAAACTCTGTTAGACAGAGGCAATAAGAGACACCTGGCTCCCCTTAGAGAACAGCTGTAAGTGACAGGTTGGTGTTGTAACCCACAGTTATGTATGATTTATAGGCTGTAGTATACCCATGAATAGGAAGGTTTAATCATGAGTTTTCATTTGGCACCAGATCTGAGATGACTTATCTGGAAGAACAGCAGCTGCATCCATAGACACTGTTATTTGCACTTGAAGATGCAAAAAGCCCCTTAGTGTTTTTAGATGGATTTGATTAATTTTTTGTGTGTGTTTACTCACACTAAAACCCATGAAATATTTTCTAATTATTGATAAATTGATCAAAAAAGTGTTTGTTTGTTTTTAATTTAAAGATAGACCAATAACTCCATGTCTCGACCTTTTAACTGGATGTTATTTTTCTGTGATCCTGCAGATTGAATGCTCAAGTATATCTGAATATTCAGAGAAGATTATCAAGTCGAATCACCTGCACAATGGTAAGAAGAAGTATTGTTTCTCATTACTGCCATAATCCCACATCCACCTATCTGAAGACAGAACGATGCAAACATATCTGGTTGAGAAGTAGCGTGTAAAATCTGTATATTTCCATCATTACCGTCACACTTGACAATATTAGTCACAGTCCTGATGGTTAAATGGCAGCTCGTCAAATAACAGTAATCTTTGCCATCAATCAGAATCCCCTCAGTGGGGCTTATTACCATTGTAAAATGCCACCCTGAACTTCACAGAGGGAGGATGGGAAACAGATGCTTGGTTTCATAACCTACATATTTGACATTAGGCTGGTTTTAATTTAATCTTTTATATTTACATTTCAGGTACTTGGCTTTTGATCCCCTGAACATAGACTAGTGGTAAAGTTATAATGTCAGGACTTCCGTTTATGCATTAATAACTATAAATATTCCAAAAGTAGATGTAGAACTGACTATCAGTCATTAGAAAAAGGTAATTTAACCTCCAATTGTGTTATTAGGGGCAGAGTATTGAATTGCTGAATTTTCCTGTAATTTCTGAATATTTGATAAATGAAATTTTGTGACTAGCTCAATTTACAAAACCTTGGCATAAATTCAGTAACTGCCCCTTTATGCTACTTTAGAAGGAAAGCATCTGTGCACTGCATTCATTAATGTTGTGGAACACAGATGGCTTAAATTCACTGAATGAATGAACACCTGCCCTGAGAAAATGTATACATTTTTAAAATTATTTTTCCTTATATTTAGTAATGAAATTAATGATATATACTGCACATCATAGGTCAATTGGTAATACAAAACTCCCTGCCGTGTAACACCTCTTTAAATTGGTGGTGTCTTCTTCCTCTGGAGGTCAAAGATGTCAGAATGGGGAAATGAGACAAATAAAATGCATGCACCAAAAAAAAAATCAGGCGCCAGATGACAACAATAATTAAGTTGGACTAATTTACAGCAATCCCAAGGCATACAAACATTGTCACTTGAGAATAAAGTCATTTGCTCTAATCTGATGAAGAAGCTGTGAAGTAATTTACTGCCTGCTGTTTTGTGGCTATGCACACTGCAGTCATTACCATCTTCAAGGGCAAGGTGGAGGAGGTGGAGCTGCCCGTGGAGAAGGTGGACATTATAATCTCAGAGTGGATGGGCTACTGCCTTTTCTACGAATCCATGCTCAACACGGTCATCTTTGCCAGGGACAAGTGGCTGGTAAGATGGTGCTGCGGGAGGTTTGGGGAGTTAAGCAGGGCTTTATGTGCGTGTGTGTCTGTGAGTGGCTGGCTGGACAAATAAGGCTATTTGACACATAGACACAGCACACAGCGTTGAAGTGGAGAATTTACTGTACGCTCGCTTGCATGTGTCTGCTCGCCAGATGCTGAGGTCATACATGAATGATCAGGTTGCTAACCTCAATGGCTGTCAGCAGGCTTTGAACTCAGCACATGTGATCTTTTATTACATGCCAGGTGTGTGAACAGTATGAGTGATTGATGGCCTTTGTGTGTGTGTTCACTGGATACCTGACTTTTGTTTTCTTCTTGTATTCAGAAACCTGGAGGCCTGATGTTCCCTGACAGAGCAGCGCTCTACGTGGTAGCCATTGAAGACCGGCAGTACAAGGACTTTAAGATACATTGTGAGTAGTTACGATACATTTGTTGCAGTTTCATTTAAATTCTTTCGGGCTTCCTCTCAGCTGTGTTTAACTAGTGCCCACTGTTGCGTCACAGCGTGATGGTTCCTGTGGATGAGTAGTAGATAAAGTGCATATGAATGTTTGTTTAAATTTGGTTTGTATTCCGAACTGATTTAAGTAGTCAGTAAAACCAGATTACAAAAAGTCCAAAAGTTACATTTCAGACTCTACAGGTGTGAGTTAGCATGTTAATGTTTGTGGCAGTACAAAAGATTGAACAAGTGTTTACTTTGCTGGGAGAAAGCCTCTGTGAGGGTGAAAGGTAGCAGCCTAGGTTTGGGTCAGACCCGAGGCCCTTTCTTTTCCCACTTCATGCCTTTCTGTCTACTTTATATATGGTCTGATAAGGAGTCATGCAGCAAGACAATGATCCCAAGCAAAGCATCAAAGGTACAACAGAATGGCTAAAAATGGAAAACAAAACAATACTGCTGTTGCAATGCCCCAGTTAAAGCACAAACCTGAGTCTGATTGAAATGCTGCGTTGAGACCTTAAGAGTTGTGGATAAACAAATGCCCACAAACCTCAAAGAACTGAAGCAACACTGTAAATAAGAGTGGGCCAGAATTCCTCTACAACAATGTGAGAGACTGATAAAGTCACGTAGAAATTGCTGTTAAAGGTGGTTTTACAAGCTGCTAAAGTGCATAGTCCTGTGGAAGTTTTTTTTTTTTTTTTTTACATGACTGCAAATGAAAGTCAGTTTCTTTGACCAGCTTTAGACTTCATCAGTTGCTAAATTAAAATACTGGGTTCCACTCTCCTCACTAGTAGAGCAACTTGTTTATAATGTAATAATAATAATGTATACTTTATTGATCCCTGTGGGGAAATTTCTCTCTGCATTTATCCCATTCACTCAGTGAAGCAGTGGGCAGCCATTGGGCACCCAGGGAGCAGTGTGTAGGGACGGTACTTTGCTCAGGGGTACCTCAGGGTAGTCGTTCAGTGGATTCGAACCCCCAACCTACCGATCATGGGGCCACCACTCTACCTACTGAGCTTTTCCTGCTTGCCTCAAATGCCTCAGATGTTTTCAGTCCCAAACTGAAAACATCTGAAAAGAGCTAGCTACTTCTAAGACTGAACCAAAACAGTGAAGCTGTAGGTTATAAAACCAAACAGTACTTTATGTGACAGTGACAAGCCATAGATTTTTCTTAAATGCTGATTAGTGACTGCAAGGGGGAAAAAACCCAAAACATGCCACAGTAAAAAGCAGTACCTTCTGCAAAAGTGGCTAAAATGTACAGGGTATTTATTGGGTTATAGCCATAAAGACCATAAGATTAAAAATTGGGTGAATGCAAATAATTTTTAATTTAAGTGGAAGTAGTTTAATCTAGCATTGAAACCTGTTGTGCAGCAAGAGGTTCAAAAGCATTTAAACCAGCGTGTTACTTTTTATCCTGAACTGCTTTCTCTGCTCCAAACTCACGGCATGTGTTCAAATAGCTAACACAGCTGGAGGGCTGAGCTTAACATTGTGATCCAGTATTAAAGGTGCCATTCAAACCTGTACGTACATCGGCTTTGAATCTGGGTCAATAACGCCTACTGAGTTCCCTTTCACTGCACAGGTGGCCTCCTGTGCTTTATTACATCTAAACATACATAAAGGTACATTCTTTCACATAAATCCCAAAAGAACTCACTTTACCCCAAACCCTCACACTCTTATTTTTAGTTTTTTTTGCGTTGGTGGCACACTCACCATCTCATGATACAGACTTAGTGTTTGGCCTCCTGACAAAGCAAGGTGGAGTGAAGGGACTGAGTGAGTGGGGGAGTGAATGTGTTTTTTGGTGTGTTTTCAGCCCAAATTATAATAAAACAAGGATGCCAGACATTCTGGAGGAGGTAGAGGAGGAGGCCAGAGTATATTTTCGGGACGGCTTGTCTTTCTCCACATACGGCCTGGATAGACAGAAAGACAGCGGGACTGTTCTTCCTGGCAGAGTCAAGCGCTCTGTTTTATTTTCTCTGCTACCTTTTTTGTGCTGACAGCTTAGCAGGAACAGGGAGAACAGAGCTTTGCTTGTGCCTGAAAACTGAAGGAGAAAAAAAATCCAGAAAACACATATTGTGTGCATGGTCATTCACATGGGTATCTGGTTTGTTTTTTGTATGTACAGGGTGGGAAAACGTATATGGGTTCGACATGAGTTGCATTCGCAATGTGGCCATCAAAGAGCCTCTGGTAGATGTGGTAGATCCCAAGCAAGTGGTGACGAACGCCTGCCTTCTGAAGGTTAGTCTGCATTTGTACCAGTTTGTGAACGCGTTTTGTCTACAGTATGATTTCATACCTGTTTGTGGCACATATCCAAACACTTTTGTTTTTCTCTATCTCCTGGGTACATGAATTCCCAGAAAAAGTCAGACAGCTGTGATCCTCTGTCACTGTGAACATTCCCCATCTATTGAGTCTATTTTCTAGTACATAATAGAGATTTCTGGCTGGCTGTAATAGGCTGCAGCTCTGTTTTCATGCTTGAAGATACAACAGAAGCTTGTCTTTCATCTCGCAAATGAACAGAGGATGAGAGCATTCACAGAGGTGATAGCCTTTTTGTTTGTCCCCTCTACCTTTACCTTTTCTCTATTTCACTGTCCCTTTTCTCTCCATATATCATGTTTCTTTCTATTCCAAGCATTTTATGTCTTCATTGCCCCTTTTTTCATTATCTCTGTCTCACATCATTTTATAGTCTCGTTTCTCACTTTCACTTTTCTAATCACTCCACCGTTCCTTTCATCTTGTGTCCCATTCTCTGATTTTAAACAATGTCAGGCCTCAGTAGTCTGAGTGAATAGGGAGGTCTCACTCAGTCTTTCCCTCTGTGCGATGGTGAAATGTCACACAAGAGCAGGCATTGAGTCACCAGTGGGAATGAAATGGGCTCTCCATCAGTGTGATAAGCGATGGTCTTGCTTTTGTGTTAAGAAAAGGTGATTCATGTGTTAGGATGGAGGAGCTTAGCCACTGACATGCCTGTCTGAAATTTTATTCTCACTGCAGGTATCTTTTTTACATGTATGTATTCAGGGCATCTTCACCCCAACCCACCCCTGCCAGCCACTTCACCGCTTCTTAATTCAAACTGCCAGTCATTCCTCGCTTGCTAAAATTACAAAGTCGCTCCCGGGGATTTTTTTTCTCTCCTCCTACAATTTGCTGTATACGATACTGGCCTGGTATCATTGGAAAGGACAGAGGTGTTAAATCACAATCTGTCATGGTGACGCCACATGGCCGAGTGCTCCAAAGCCCAATAGGCTGGGCAAGATGAACAGGTTGCAATTTAAAATAAAAATCCCCCTCCATCCTCCTAAATACAGCATCATCTACATGCAAAGCAGAGATGCACCTGCTCCTCTATTTTGAACCCAGTATGATGCCTAGCAGGTGACAAAGTACTTAGATCTGTGGCTACCTCAGTAAGGCAGTTTGATATAAAACACACACATATACTCACACGCACAAAACCTCCCTCCCTTGTAGACATGAGGGAGGACACCCACACAGCATGTGTAGTGCGAGCAGGCTTCATTTGCCAGCCGTGATTCAACCTGTGGGCTTTCACACACACACATATTCTTGCACATGCACAGTAATCATGGTGAATAATCAAGAAGCATTGACATACATGTGCCGCATGTGTATGTGAGAGATCGCAAATGGTGGTGGCAAGTTGCAAGCCTGTGATTGTACAGTGGCTCTATTCTGAAATAGCATGGTTATGGATTTCAAGCTCATTTGCCCTGACATATATAACATCAGCTACTGGCAATTTTATTTTCAGGAAGTGGACATCTACACTGTGAAGCCAGAGGACCTGTCCTTCACCTCAGCCTTCTGTCTGCAGATTCAGCGCAATGATTACGTCCATGCTCTGGTCACCTATTTCACCATTGAATTCACCAAATGTCACAAGAAGACTGGTTTCTCCACTGGTGAGGCTAAACAGGAGCCTTTTTTATTTTAAAGAGTTGAGATTTAAACCTCTGGGTCAATCAAATAGAAAAAAAAATTGTGTCACATATTTTGGTACAGTGTGTGTAAAAGTCTTGATCAACCCTGGTAACCAGACTTCAAAATGTTAAACTGGTTTAACTGGTCGTTCTCCCAGCTTTCTGATAATCTTCCAGGGTTTTTCATTAGATATTGGCTGCTTTTTCACTTATTTTAAGGAAGAGGAATATTTCTTATTTGGTAAGCCACTTAACACTGACCTATGAATCATTCAAGCGTTAAAAAAAGGCACCTAGTTCAAGGGATGAATCAGTTTTATTTCCACACATAACAGATAACATAGAAAAAAACGAATTGTAATTTTATCTTTTGGAACTCTGCGACTAGCAATTCATTACAAAAATACATAATTTGTTCCAATTCTTTAGCTGAATCTATCAAAAATTCCAAAGACACCACAGTTTAACAGCCCTAAAATGCTATTTCTGGACCAACAAGGTGATTCCTAAGATCTATTGTTAAAAACCTTGACATTTCTGAGCATGCTGGGTAGTCTAATTAACAAAATTGAGGACACTGAACGGGTGGAGGACAAAAGAAATGACAAAATTATCTACAGCAGATGAACAGTGTCTGAAATGCATGTCTTTTAAAAAATAGAAAAAACTCCAGAAAAGATGCATCTGGTACTTTGGCTGATCCATCTACGGCTCAGTAAAGTCTCATGAGAAAGGAAGGGTGCCTGCAAAGAAGCCATTTTTAAAGCAGGAAAACAGGAATGAAAGGCTGAGGCATGCCAAATTACACGAGAACTGAACAGAAAATAAGTGGCAGCAGGTGTTATGGAGTGATCAATCCAAAACTTATATTTTGGATTTGTTTAAATCATCAATATGAACCAAGGTGTTTAGGAAAGAGTCACTACAGCCATCTGTAAAACACAGGGGAGGCTCTCTCATGGTTTGGAGATGAATTTGTTGTGGAGGTGTGTTGGGGATCTTGTCAAAATTGATTCAATAACAAACACAGAAAAGTGCAGTTAGGTTTGTGCCACCGTGCAATATAATGTGGAAAGAGATTGGTAACAGTTTGATTTATCAGCATGACAATGATCCCAAACACAGAAAAACACACATGGAACTATCAGTCATGAATCGAACTATCAATCAGGGGTTGGCCAGAGCCTGAATCTCTGGATCATCCCAACAAGGAAAAGATCAAAAGACAGCCAACATCCATGGAAGAATTCTGAATGTCCTTCAAGAAGCCTGGAGAACTATTCCTGAATAAAACTCGTTTCAACAAACTGCTGCACCCATTTCCCATCATTGAAGGAAAATATACAGAATTGAGGGGTGATTCAAGCCATTTCCACAGTACTGTACTATACATTTTTGATATTACTTTCTCCATGTGGTGCTTATATAGTGAGGTTGTGTTATGCTGCATAGCAGACAAGGACAATTACTTCCCAGGATTGTCTATCAGGACTCTATTGCAATGTACCCAATGCGATGCAACAGAAAGGTTTATGAAAAGAGTGGACAACTCCTGTAGTTCACTTTCAATGATAAAACAATTCTAAGGAACTTTAAATGTCTACACTCACAATCTTTTCTGAAACTTATGCCTTAAAACACATATTCTCCAAATCCACTTGTTATTTAACTGAAACACCAATGAGTGACATTTCTTTTTCACTTGTGATCAGTTTTATTTGTCACAGCAAGTGTGTTTCAGAACTGAACTGAGGTGTTCAGCGATTCACAGATTTCAAAACCTGATATAAATATTATTTCTCCTAGATTATTCAGTTATTTTACACCACAAAAGTTTATAAAATGTATAAAACTGTAGCCAAGGATACATGAAGATTTGCTTGCACCGTTAAGCAGATTCACATCCTGGCTCGCCCCGCAGCCACTTGAGTAGTTTGAGCAGTGAATCAGTGGATATTAAATGGATGGCGCTCCATTTCTGCACCTTAGCTCTTGGCTACACTCTGCTGGTGTTACGTGACCAGTGTTTGAACCAGCAGAATCACCGAGCGCGTCATCATGCTGTTGAGGACACCTATTATAGTGAAATATGTTATGCAAGCTTATGTTAATACATTCACGCATCCGGTGCTTACATAATATCACGTAGAGGAGGTTCTATTTTTTGGCTGTCTGTTGGCCCTGAGGCTGAGCATCACCGAAGGAGATCTCTTCTATCTGCCTCTGTATTTTTCCCATTGGATGAGAGAATTTCAGGCACTTTGCTGTTATACTTCTTCTATGCTAACATGCCGAAGGCAGTCTAGTGCCTGTCAAGACTATTCTGTAAATCTTTTTATTTCCCCTACTCCTCTTTACTCCTCTTTCCTCTTTCCTCACCACCATTCCTCTTTAACCTAATTTCAAATTCTCTCCTCCTCTCTCTTTATCATCTCCACCATCTTTCATTTTCACTTCCCTGCCTTTTCCCTTGCCCTCCATCACATCCTATCTTTAGCTCCAGATGCCCCAAGCACACACTGGAAACAGACTGTGTTTTATTTAGAGGACTACCTAACTGTCAAGAAGGGAGAGGAGATCTTTGGCAGTCTTGCTGTCAGGCCCAACGAGAAGAATGTGGTAAGACTAAAAATTTTCAAGACAATTCTCTAGACTTAAAAAGGGAATTTACCTAAATTACAACAGCAGCAACATACTTAGAAATATAATAAAGATATGGATACAAATAGTGGAAAAAGTCCTCTTTTTACTATAGATAAACCTTCAATTAGTAAAAAATGCCATATTTTTAACATCCTGTTTTACTGTAGACTGCCTCTAATAGCGCATATTTGCTTAGCAAGCAAAAAGTAGCTGGTTTAATTCCAGCCTGAGCCACAAAATCCCCTTTGGGGCTGCGTCAGGAAGAGCTACCCACTACGGTGACCCCTTGTGGCAAAGGAGCTGCTGAAAAGTAGCTGCTTCTTCTGTATCCTGACCACACACCATTAAATAACAGAAAATATTCAAATAATGGTATGTCCTATGTTCCCTGTAGTTATTGTTAATAATAGAAAATGTCCTGTTTATTTGCTGTGTGCATGCTGTTAATTAATAGAGAATCTCTTTTCTTTTTAATTAAGGAAATATTTCTTACAGTGCTGCTTGTCCTTCGCCTTTTTGGTTGTGTGTAATTCTTTGTAACTGATTACTTCAATTCACTTTTGGTAATGTTTGTTGCAGCGTGACCTGGAGTTCACCCTTGAGCTAGATTTTAAAGGACAGCTATGCGAGGCCGCCATTTCCCACGACTACAAAATGCGTTAAGAACAACAGACCAAGCCGTGCCGCAGACCTAGCCTCAGCCCCTCTGGTCAGCGAGGGGGAGGGCACAGGCTCTCCAACAAGCATTCCAGTTTGCCAGGGAGGGCATCTGGGCGCATCTGATTGGATGCCATCAAGCCAGCATCTAGGTGATGTCATCACAATAGGCACGTATCTATCAGCAATAGTGCCATCATGTGTACCAACTTGATTGACTCGGGCACCTCATTGAATGTATCATCCTACTTGATTTTTTGGTCTGTTTCTGAGAATTATTTTGATTGATGTATGAAATGAAAATCATTTATTTATTTATTATTATTATTATTATTATTATTATTATTACAATGAATGGAAAACGATTAACTTGTGTGATGTTAAGAGGATTATAGCACAGTCATTAACTGTTTTACCTTTAGTAACATTTATTACATATTGTATAATTGTATAGAGAGTACAGTAATTCATTGCTTTATTTTAGCAAGTATCTGCATGTGAATCCTTTTTCATTTTTTAATTTCAGAAAGATGTGAAATGGAATTTATTTCTTTAATTACTGAGAACTTTGGTGCCAGAAAAAAGAGAAGAATGCCTCAGAACAGTAACAAACATGATGCAATTATGCCAAGTACCACTTTGTTTAGAGATCGGATGATCAAAGAATATGAAAAAAAAAAAGAATGTGGTGATGAATAAAATGTCAAAGAATCAAATAATTTATCCCGCTTTCATTTCAAACTTGAAGCAAAGATTCTGTTATGAAAAGGCTACAGTATACTTCTGATTTTCCTCTTAGGTAAAAGGATTTTATTTAATTGCAATAAGGAATATTCTAAATACTACAAAGAGACAATTTTGATTTGGCATTTACAGGTAATGGCACAACTTTTTGTTTTACTGTAGAGGAGCTCCTTTCATTAAAGTTTGACAGCAGTTTGTTCACACAGACTATACGGACTTCTACCGCATATTGATGTAAGCATTTACTGCCTTCCTGGTTTTAAAGTCCATTACTCTTTTCAGTTTTGTCTTCAAACATTTTAATCTCCACAGAAAAAAAAAAGATCTGCCTCTCAATAAACTGAGTATAGCAGTACAAAAATTTTTTTCCTATGGTTTTAGGTTTTCTTTGTGTTAGCTTGAGTCTTCACTTGCAGCAGGCTTTCTTCTTCACAGGCTGAGTGCTGAGTATGACTGTTGTATCTCTCACCCTGTCCTCCTGCTCCATTAACACTCTGAGTAAACAAAGAGGGGGAAAAAAGGCTTGACATCTGCTGCGAATCACAATGCAGCCCCAGTGCGCTGTGTATCAGATTGTTTTGATCTTACCTGGCCAGGTGAGTCAGGGACTCTGTCACATTCTTTCCCGTGTAGGCACTGACCTCAAAGAACATCACCTTGTTTTCCTGAAAAGGGTGTGCACACAAATTCAGACCCACTGTTGTCCTAGAACAGGCAATACTTGCACAAAAATGCATTAGATTTACATAAGCAAGTTGCTCAGCTTCTTTAAATGACACCTCCCTGTCTTCGTCCATGTCCATTTTGTTACCTAGCAAGAGAATAGGGATCCCTTCTCCTGCTGCTTCCTAAGAAAATAAAGAACAGTGTTCCAGAGCTTCCCATTTCAGGATTTGCCAAAGATGTGAACTGCATAAACGTTATGAGCAATAACCCCAGCTTTTAAGAATGTGAATTCCAAAATTGGACGAACTGAACCATGCATGCAGCAAAACAAGACTTGCACAGGACTGAATGGGTCAAAGGTCCAACCTGAACATTGGTGAGCCAGGGCCACACAGCCTTGAAGCTCTCCTCCACTGTAACATCATACATCACCACCACACCATCTGCCTTGCGAAAGAACTGCTTGGTTATGCTGCGGTACCTGTGTCAGTAGCAGGATTTGAATGTCAGCACAGTGGCCCATTTTTCAAATGTGAGTATAAGAATACATTATGTACATCCACCTCAATACTGATACAATAATACTACATGGTTATTGTTTTATAGTGACTATTCAAGAAAAGAAGAAGAAGTGTTGGAAATACGACACATTTTTTTTGTAATTTTGTTTCTGTTCACTTCTACGGAGGATTTGAAACACTCAAGAAGTCCATAGTATTGGATTTAATTCAAAGGTTTTGACAAAAGTAATGCATTAAGTGAAATAAAAACATTTTTATACAGTATCTCTAATTTTCAGTCTTCCGAAACTTATTAACCAAACTGTATATACTGTATACACTTCCATTCATGTAAAATAAAGTATTGCAAGAGGAATTGTGTTTATTAAGAGGGCATATTAGATCAATTCTATAAAAAATTTTTTAACATAAAATAAAGTAATACAGTGGCAGGGTAAAAGCATAATTAAAGGAAATTTGCAAGTGTGGAAATTTTGTTTTGAGAATGTAAAGTCATAATTTGTTTAAAAAAAGCTCACAATTTCTCTCAGATTAAACCTAAGATTGGAGGAAGGTTGCAATAAACTGACAATATATTCAGACTTTGGATATGATATTCTTGATTAGCATTTTATTGGTAAGCTTAAAGTTGCAAGATATTAGTGGTTTATATCCAACCAGTTAACTGAAATATGCTGAAGGAAGTGGTCACTCACCTCTCTTGGCCTGCAGTGTCCCAAAGCTGCATGGCTACCTGCATATTGTCCAATGTTAATGTCTTCACACTGTAGTCAATACCTGATTTAAAAAACAACAACAACATATAATAACATATAATACATAATCGAACATAATATAAGGACACACTTCTCACATTTAATTTAGGTTTGATTTTACTTCTCGTTTTCACTACGAAGAAGCAATGATATAAATGGCCAGTAGGGGGATCAAAGTGCCTGTGCTTCATTCCAGCAGAAAAAGGGGTGAGAAAGGTGGTGACAACAAGGCATAAAAGGAGGATTGGAAAAGATGAAAGCGAGGATAAAGAAAATTCATCCAAAGTGACATAATCTGTAGTACAATGAGTGCCAGGGCTCTTAGACAGGCAGTGTGACTTCACAAGCCCTTTCATGTGATGCTAAATCGCCCCCCAGTATTCAGGAAAGGCATCCACAGCCACACTCGCACACATGCCCTTCAGATCTGTTTAAAACGGGCCCTGAAACATCAATAAAATATGACTGCCTTTCTTCTCACCCACAGTAGCAGTTGTGGAAGGGTGGAAACGGCCCTCACAGAAGGAGCGCAGCAGGGATGTTTTCCCAACGCTGGAATTTCCAACCAGGACCACTTTAAACAGGCGGTCTGGGGCAAACAGTTCTTTCGCCTTCTGTAGGCGAGCAATTAGAAAGACAGTTTCATTACCTCTCCAGTAACTTATCTAAAAGCATATATAAAAGTGGGGAGCCGTAAACACACCTGTGAGGTTTCCTTTCCCACAGGCTGTCCTCTTGGAGATACAGGTGGGGTCTTCTTCGATTGAGTAAAGTAGGATTTCCTTGCAGGAGGAGCTTCTTTTGACACTGAGATGTAACGTGGGGAAGCACTGAGGTCGCTCCTTCTGTCGTCTTCTTCCTCCTCATCCCTCTCGTCTTCCTCCTCGCTGAGCTGGTGCAGTAAGGGCTGAGGTCCTCCTTGGAGCAGGTGGGGCAGGTGGTCCTCTTCTATGGAGATGACTCTGCGGAGGGGCCACCCGTCCGGCGGGGCATCTAACACCTCCTCCTCTTCTGCCACCTTCTTATCAATTTCGACTTTCTTTGATTTGTCTCTGCTTCTCCCTAACACCCTCTTGCTGGTGGCCATTTTGGTGGACAGCCTTTTGGCCTTTGTCTTCACGTCGTGCACTTTAGGCAGAACGGGGCTGATGTGACCGTTGGCTAAGCCAGAGTTCCTATTCGCTGAAGGCCTTTGTTGGCACACAGGGCTGCTAGCAGCTGTGGTGGAGGGAGCAGGGGTGGCAGTGGTGGTGTCATCTTCACTACAGGAGGAGGAAGCAACAAAAACGATTTGAAGGTGCTCTATAGGCAAGGCCTCCAGAGATAGGTAGGACCCATCCACCAACAGTGAGGCTCTTTGGGGACAGAGGAGAAACAGAGGATTTACTGGATCAATTCACTTGAGTTTTCTAATATTTCTACTTGATAATTTGGCTATTTTTTGTGAGTATAAGGAATCAGACATCCTCTGTTTTTCCTCCTTTGATGCATGATTTTTACATCACATTTGTCATTTGTTGCATAGGAAGCAATCTGACAGGGATGAATTCTGTTAAAAAGAGTACTTGAATGATGAATGAATCACCTTTTTGCCGGCTGGCTGCTGTCATCAAATATATTGCCGAGGCCCGCTCTCTGCTTCTGCTTCTTTCTGAGTGAGGTTCGAGGCTTGTTTACAAAAAGAAGGTGCATTACTCAGCTATTCTAGTGCTGTAATCGAGTTAATGCAGTTACATAAAATACTATTTACTTACTACACCACAGCACAAGTCTCGCTCATCCTTTAAATGCTTGTTCATCTCTCTGGGAAGTTAAAGAAGGGATGTTAAAGAGTGTTTTGTGCTTTGCAAATCCTTGAACCTTGGAGTTTGATTCATAGGGTTTGGCCAGTTAGGACTAAACCAGGAGCCAAAATGAGTAAAACAATAGTTGTGGTCAGAAACTTATATCCACTCAACATTGGCATGAATGATTGTACAACTTTTGGATTGTCTCCAGTCCACACAGGCTCAAAAGTGTGCATACAGGCTCATCAAAAACTCATGGACTATTACCCAAGTTTGAAAAGTGCTGGGTGTTCTCATTATACCTGAGGAGGTCAAGCTGCTTCATTAGACTTTGTTTTTCCCTCTGCAGTCCTTCAGTTACTCGGTACATTTCCCTGAAACAAGACAGAAGAAACTTGCTTTTAAATAGCTACTCTATGGCATCTGTTTGCACACTGCAGGGAAACACAGTTAATACAAACAATGCTTATACGCACATTTCTTTCTCCCGTTGTAGCCGGGAGGCCTGTTCCTGCAGCATAGCCAGCTGTTCCTGGGCCAGCACCAGCTCCTGGCTGGTGCTCTCCAGCGCTCTGGACAACTCATTGTTGGTCATTTTCAGTTTGACGTTCTCTACGTGGCTCTCCTGCTTCTCACTGCTCAGCTCAGAGCACTGGTGCTCTAACTAAACAGGGAGATATTCACAGGAGTTATAATACACTAATGCTGGGTAAGTGTACTTAGGGGATATCTGCACAGGGAACAAAACAGTGAGGTTTGGTGTAAATCCTCTCTACACGACAGATGTAATGCCACATGCCCACTATTCAATAGTTACACATAACAAATGTTTTTACAGAGAGCTTAATTTTTTTTTTGTCATGCTGTTACAATGGTGGATGTTTCTTATTAAACATGACCGCAGAATTTCTTTGGGATGCTTCGTCCATATTAACTTACCCGTTTCTGCTTCTGGAAAAGCTGCTCCAAATCTCTCTCCTTCGTAAGAAGCTGGTGCTCCAGGTCCTGGCTGCGCAACTGAAGCCGCTCAGAGTCCTGCAGGACCAGAAGAAGAAAAGGTTCAACTTGCGGTTAAAAGAAAGTGCACAAAATTAACTCGAAAGGTAAAAACACTGCTGTCAATATGATATAATCCTTAAGCAAAACTACGCTTACATCATTACTACTGCTTGTTCTCTCTCTTTGAAAGACCCAGGATTTATGATAATGCAGAAAGTGGTCTTCCACTTTAC